CTAACTAGGGTTTGGGATTTGCGTAGGCGGTGGCGGCTATGGGGGACAACAAGGGTACTCGGAGGAGCGGAACAGCGCGCGGCGGGTGGCGGACCACTACAGCGCCCGATCGAATCAGACGCTCGAGGAGCGCGAGAACAGCCCCATCATCCACCTCAAGAAGCTCAACAACTGGGTACACTACTAGCTGTGCTACCCATCCATTCATCTCTTCAAACTCTTGAGAAATTGTCACCTCTACAATGTTAAGTGGAACCAGTAAGAAGCGGCGCTAATCCTCAAATCTCACCTTTCGCAGATAAAGAGCGTCCTGGTCCAGCTGTATGCGCGTCCGGGAGACTGCGTTCTAGATCTTGCTTGTGGCAAGGTAAGCACTGTTTTGTGAGTGTTAATTAAGATAATCTGGGATTCTTGTAGTTCCAAGCTAGTGCCGACATATATTGATTTGCTATGTAATGCAGGGAGGAGATTTGATAAAGTGGGATAAGGCCAGGGTTGGCTATTATGTAGGCGTTGATATTGCAGAAGGCTCGGTTAGTTTCTCGTAACATGATAAATCTATATTATATGCATATATAGATATAGAAGGTATTGTTATATTGTTATTTGTAACCTGTACTGTAACCATTTGAACATTTAAACTTATCTCAACGTATATATTCAACTTGGTTTAACTCAGTGTCCTTGATAAAAGAACATCCAGATTTATCAGCGGTCCTGGACCACAGAAACTTGTGTATTTGCTTTTGGTTTCCTCCCTACCTCTTGTAGACTTCAAATAAGTGTGTTTTCATGATGTTGGAGCTTTAAACTTGCAGATAAAAGATTGTATGACCCGTTATAACGGTGATGCTGATCAACAGCGAAGGAAGAAGTTCAGCTTTCCTGCACGGCTTATTTGTGCTGATTGTTATGAGGTAAAAGTGATCATAAAATGGTAGTACAGTTTATACCAAATTAATCAAACCTACCATGATGGTGTGCTCTGTACGTGCAGACAGACAGTGCCATAGCTTGTTCCAAGTGTTGAATAAAACTCGTGCCAACATATCCATGCATTTTGTCATTATGTATGATTCTGCTTATACTTTCACATCACCAGGAAAATATGCTTTGCCCTATATGTATATAAATCTATTATTTGTGGTACTCTTCAGATGCTCATCAATAATTATGAAGTGCATCACAATGCTTCTGTTTTCATGTCGTTGTAGACTCGTCTGGATGAGTATCTATGTGAGGATGCTCCATTTGACATATGCAGCTGCCAGGTGAGTGACCTATCTTTGTATGTTCAAGGAAGTTCGTTGTTATTATTTGGTTAGTTCAACCATCTATTACTTCCAATGGCAAAACAACTTTGTATTTCAGAAACCTTTTGTAAATATAACCACTGTTAAATATTACAATCATTATTGACAATTATTGTTCAAACAAATTTAAGTATCATTGTTATGTCCAGCAAATAAAATATAAGTACAAATGGATATGATTATAACGAGCTAACTGTTTGACTGTTGACCAATTCTGATTGTTCTTTTTATGTATCTCAGTTTGCAATGCACTACTCATGGTCAACTGAAGCACGTGCAAGACAAGCGCTTGCTAATATATCTGCATTGCTTCGTCCTGGAGGCACTTTCATTGGAACGATGCCTGATGCTAATGTCATTATTAAAAGGCTAAGAGAAAGTATGTTACTATCTTGATCTATAATTTGATTGATCTCATCAAATTGGACCGTACTTGTCACAAGATGTTTGATAGAAATTTATATCCTCAGCTGAAGGGATGGAGTTTGGAAACAGTGTTTACTGGATTACCTTTGGTGAAGAGTACAACGAAAAGGTAGTTGTTTATTTATAGTAACTACTTGTATGTTAGTTTTCATTACTGACTGATCCTTTTTTTTTCACAATGATGTAGAAATTCCCCGCATCCAGGCCTTTTGGTATCAAGTACAAGTTCCATTTAGAGGTGAGAACAGGATCAACTTTTGAATAGTGTGAAACTGATGTTCTTGGCATTGCCCTTATCTGACATACATGTCTTGTTACAACTTGGGTGTTTATTGCCCTATGCTGTGCCTAGCTTCCTATTTTTACTCGCTGCCTTCATTTTTTCATTCATGAAATTACGATTCGGTAACAAATTCTTTGGCAACATGCAGGACGCAGTTGATTGCCCGGAGTGGGTTGTTCCATTCCATCTCTTCAAACTACTGGCAGAGGAGGTATGCAACTAATCTATTGCTTAGTGTGTTATGGTGACCTGTGTTTTTATTTCCTCATTTTGACCTAGTTCATTTCATTATTTTACGAAATTAATGGTAAAATATTTTTCTGTCTCATTAGTTTTTCTTTTACAAGTTTGCTCTGACAGATGCTGAAATTATGACCAAAAAATTGTGCCTTTTTTGCAGTATGATTTAGAGCTGGTTCTAATGAAGAACTTCCACGAATTTGTACACGAGTACTTGCAAAAGCCTGAGTTTGCTGATCTCATGCGAAGGCTGGGTGCTCTTGGTGATGGACGGTCGGTCCAAAGTAAGTAGATTACCTACTAAATTCACTGTTCTCAGTAAATGTCACTTCATTGCGTTAACATAGTTGAGTTACGCAGGCACACTATCGCAAGATGAGTGGGAAGTGTCCTATCTCTACCTCGCATTTGTTCTGCGTAAGGTATCAACAAACACAATTTCACCATTTCTCATCCTGTTAACAACTGAAACCTCATGCAGTCACGGACCTATGTTTGCTAAAATGTTCCGTTTACGCAGCGAGGCCCTCCACCCTCCCAGCGGAGAGCCAACAATGCTAACAGAGGGAAAACGTTCCTTGCTGAGGAGGACATCGAGTTTCTTAGCATATAAAGCAGAACTTGCCCTCCTGGAGCTTACTAACAAGTTATGGATTCTACGCGTCACATTGCGTAAAAGAAACTTGTATCTTTAGTGGCTCACCTGTGGTCTCTCCGAGGCGTATCTGTTATGTAACTTACCAAGTGTAATGTATAAACAGCATGGGCTAGATACTCGTTATGTAATTTTGCGGAGATGGATAAATATTCGGAAATGTTAACGCCCACGCGTGTGGGCGTTCACCATCTCGACCACACGCATCCATCACTGTTGGGTACTTTGTGCACGAATCTTGGCACAATCCGGTCGTTTTTCTGCGCCACGTAGGACAAGGCGCGTGTGTGGTGTGTGAGATAGTTCGCCCGCACGTTGGTTGCCATTCCGCGGTCAGCGGTTGCCACTTCAGGGCGTGCGGTGGAACTGCTATGCGCCCGCACGCCACGCGCCGACCGTGGTTGACGTCAAACACGTCACGCATCGCCCCCCTTTTCCTCACGGTTCCATTTACTCACCTCCGCAGTTACTGGCACAACCCACTTCGCATTTCAAACCATTGGAGGAGAAGACGAGGGGAGAAGGCGACGGCGGAGGCGGAAGAATCGACGGTGTTCGCGACCGTCGGTGGTGCTCGCCGGATCGGAGCGGCTTCGCCGGAGCGCCTGCGGATTGAAGGTAATGCTCGCTCCAACTCTCACAATCCTTTCGGCGATTTGGCGATGCGTCGGCGTTCCCGCCAGCGGCGGAGTCCTGTGCTAGCCGTTTTCGGTGGCACTGGGCACTTTCGTCGCCGCCGCGGCGGCGGCCTCGTCGGTGTGGTTCTGCCTGTCCGGAGGCACACACTAGTTGTGCCTTGGGATTGGGCAGGTGTCTTCCGGTTTGTTAGTTGCGCATTGGTTTGAATTGGTGTTTGTAATCAGTCCGGGGAGAATTTTTGAGGTTGAATTTGAAGTCATTGTAGTTGCCTTGAACCCTAGATCTAGTTAGTTGTTTTTGAAACTGCAGTATGAGGCAAACGTGGTAGTTTGATTAACTATCATGACTGTATGGCAACTAACTTCCTCAATGAATGTGATAGTTTGCCACAAACATGCTTTCCCATGCGGCAACTAACTTACTGAAATGACTGTGATAGTTGCCACAAACAAGCTTTCCCATGCGGCAACTAATTTATTGAATGACTGTGATAGTTGCCACACACATGCTCTTCCATGTGGCAACTAATTTCTCGAATTACTGTGATAGTAGCCACAAACATGCTTTTTCATTGTGGCAACTAATTTTCCTGAATGATTGTGATAGTTGCCAGACTGTATGAATGGTAAAGTGTAGTAAATCGATAGTCACTGCAGTTTCAGCAACCAACTGCACTGGATGACAACTAATCTGCACATCAACTGTGCCTGTTGCCACATGGATAGTATATTCTTGTGGCAAATAGAATGTGAACACACTGTGTCTGTTGCCATACTGTAGACAGGACAATGTGGCAAATTGGCTGCATAACATGGCAACCAATTTTGCATATCAATTATGTCAGATGCCATACATATGCTTTTCCATGTGGCAAGTTTTTGTCTGACCACATCATGTCTGTTGCCATGTTACAGTCAGTATAATGTGGCAAATTTATTGTACTGCAGATGCAATTTTTGTGTTTTGCCACAATGACTTGTGATATCTGAACACACTGTGGCAATTTTCAGGTTCTTGATTAGATGTTTTTCATCGCTTTTTTGTATTATGTGTTGCATTTTAACATGGCAATTTCAACCTAGCACATTTTTGCCGCTGAACACATGGCATTTCATTGGTGTATTTCGGACAGGGTGTGAGCTGCCACATCTTAGTTTTTGCGCTGTGGAGGATTTTGTGACTTTCTATCGTTCTATCTTGGGCTAACATGGCAACTTCAACATTTTGTTTTCAAGTGCATTTACAATCTGTACACTTTTTTTTGAAAATGTAACCAATGTGCTTACTTGCCATGTTTCTGTTTTCGACAATCACAGGAGGGATGCGTGTGTGTTCATGTGATATTTTGCATTCACTAGTTGACATTTTCTGTTAGGTGGCAACTGCTTACATCTTGCATTTTCATTTCCACCGTGACAATTTGGTCTGTTCCTATCTCAGCAGAATGGCTCGTGGTGATAATCAAAATGATGATGATGATTTCATGGATCCACCAAAGCATAATCGGGCAACTGGACGGAGAAAAGAGGGTGATGAGGTAACTGTCCACACACACCCCTCCTCCTGCTTATGTTATTGGTTGCCACCTCGAGCTTGCAGTCGTCTGTCATGAACTAAAATTTCATGACAGTGCAAAACATGGCAACAACTGATCACTTTTTATCTGTTTTTTGCAGAAGAAGAAACGTATTCGCAACAGAGCCTCCCAAGAACGAGTGACTACGTTGACTGACAGATTTACCGACGATCAGAAGGGAGCTGCTGCTGAGATGGGTATGCAGGCTCTGATGAATGTCCGGTGCACGAACCTTGTCAACCCTGTATGCGACTGGCTTGGTGAGATTTACGACCCCGCCTCCAGGAAATTTGTGATTCCGGGACGTGGAAGACTACCGTTGAACGAGGAATCCGTGTTCTGCACTTTGGGTGTGCCTCGTGGACATATCAAAGTCCCGTACGAGGTCAATAACAAGATCGAGGAAGCGCTGTTCCCCCGTTTGTTTCCTGGGTTGGAATCCATGTCGAACACGTCTGCACTGGCAGATTCGCTGGAGGCCATGACAACCCATGGAGATGTTTTTAAGATGAAGCTACTCATGTACCTCATCTCAGCTGTTTTCACGCCGACCACTTCTCTTCGCCCAAGCAACAAATGCTTCCCCATCCTGGTGAATGATTCATCTTTACTACTTTATTTTCCTTCAACCTTTTGGCTCCGATGTCATGTGTAAAGCTAGTCACTGCCAGTGTTTTTTGATGTTTTTTCCATTTGATTTCTGATGCGGCAACCCTTTGTCCTGAAATTTTGTGCGGTGCAGGCGGATCTGAAAAATGTGAAGAACATGAATTGGTGTAAGTTTATTGCCGACTTCCTGCACGATGCATTCTCAAGCAAGATGTACCAAAAGGGTTGTCGACTGCATTTAATGATATTTTTTTACCAGTCCTTTTTGTGAACACTCTTTTTAACTCACTTTTATTCATGCATGGCAACCTGATCATAACAAGATGGCAACTGCCATAATGACGATATGGCAACTGGCATAATAACAATATGGCAACTGCCATCATATTATTATGGCAACTGTCATCATACTATGATGGCAACTGCCATCATGGCAATATGGCAACTGCCATCACACTATGATGGCAACTAGCACATACAGATGGCAACTTCTTCTTTTTTTCTTTTTTTTCATGCACCTCAACTTGATTATCATGGGAACATAGATTATTCTATTTTTTCCACAAAGTACCATGATGACAACTGATATTTCTTTCTTTTTAAAATTGTTTTACATCAGCTCATGTACGTCGACTGTCTTGATCTGTCCACCGTGGATTTCACTGGGACAGGAGGCCCGCCGCCTACGCACAAGTTTGCTGTTTCTGCATGGACTATCAACGCTGTCAAGGCTGTGTTTGCCGCAGACAGGGTAACTGATACCAAATATGGAAAACTGCAGGTTAGTTCTAGTTTCTTTCTCCACACGGCATGCTTACAAATTTGACATGAGGCAACCGTCTGTGGTTCATAAGAGATGACTACCTTTGTTAGCCATGGCTATCTGCGTATTGTATCCATGTCTCACTCCACATGGCAACTTTTTCATTTGTGCTGAAACTTACATTCTCTCTCTTACATCCTAGCTATTTTTTTATTTTTTCTAGCTGATGGCCAAGCATGCTATAGACTACAGCGTGTTTGGGGGGCCTCAAAACTTTGGAAAGTGGATGGACGTGCACTCAGCTCCGTCTTGCCCTACTGAGGTAATCAAAAGATCTACATCTATGGTTTGCCGTGGATTATTTTTGATGTCGCGCAAGTGACTGCAATATGGGTGGTTATTGATGCTTCTTGTTTCGTGCACAGGCGAGGGCACCTGTTGAGCATCTAATTGGGAAGTTTACATCCGGAATGACCGGCTTGCTCGGGAAGTTGGTTGAGGGGTGGACGTCCCTCAGTGGCTCTGACAGCGACGCGGTTGCGAGGCAGTTCACTTCATTTGTCCCAGAACGTACACATCGGCCAACCGGTTGCCGTGGCCGGTATGACTACAACAGTTCCCAAGAGCCTGCTGACACACAAGATGAACTAGATGGAGACGCTGGTCTCAGCAAGGATGACGACGATGACATGGAGAACGTGCAACAGGACACTGATGATGATGAACATGCTGAAGTTCGTGCAGGTGGTAACAAGGGCAAGGATGCACCAGATGTCCCCCCACCGGAGAAAGTCAAAGAACATACGGTTGCGAGAGGCGAGGGGGTGTTGCCATCAAAGAGGGGGAGGGCTCCAGAGGATGTTGGGCAGGGTTCTCCTGGCAAGAGGTCTAGGACCGATCCCGTAGCTGCCAGGAGGAGGTTCGACTTTAATTTTAGTTGTTTGCTTTGTCTATTTTCTTGGAACAGACTCATTCCTTTTTTGCACTTGTTTTTGCCAAGCGCGGCAACGAGTTTGCTGTCTGACAATTGCCACCTTTTCCCTCCATCTCATACGTGCAGTGAGCCGACAGCTACTGGACGAGCAGTTACGAAGAAATAGGCGCCAACGCCAACCCGTATTTCTGCTCGGTTGAACAAAGGTGCCCCCATTGCTGGTGACACCCCTTCCACCAGGTCATCTCCTCGTACGACAACGTCCAACACTGGGGATCCTGTCGTGTTGCCAGACCTGAGGAAGCCAGTCAGGAAGTAGGTTTTCCATGCGCTTTCATTGATATAGTGCTATATTTTTTTGATTTTCCAATGCATCCATTCAGCTTGTCACATGGTCTTCTGTCATCGTCCCCACATGGCAACTGCTGTTTTTCAAATGATTTTTTCCTTCCTTTTTAAGTGCATGGCAACTCCTATTGGTTTTTATATGGCAACTGGCATCTAGGCCAAATGGCAACTCTTACTGTACCTAATGACAACTGCCATCTTTACCGTTGGCTTGTGTGCTCATCCCATACCTAGGTTTGAAATTGCATTCATGGCAGATCAGACATTTTTATCATTCTTCAAGTTGGCTAACATGGCAACTACTGCTGGATTTGTATGGCAACTGCTAACTATGCCACATGGAAACTCATGTACCCTTACATGGCAACTACCAGCTTTTCCACTTGTTTTTTCATTTTTTTAAGATTTCTACCATGGCAAATATATTTTGTTCCCCTTACATTTTTTTAATACCTTTTTCATGTGCTTTATTTTTTTGCAAGGTGAAGAAGACTACTATGCGCGGGGCCAAGCTATCAGTAAGGACCCACTCGAACGCCTTCATTCAAAGTTGTCAACAGGGGGCAACTCAGATGTTCATGAGGCTCTAGGCGACAATACTGCTGCTGCACCGTCAACTGCTCCCACTAACTCTGATGCAAGTGGCCGACCATCTCCGCCGGCTGCAGATGTGCAGGCTAGAACAACAGGCATCCGTACATCGGGGAGTGACGATTCGGTATCTGCCAGGACAGCTAAAATATTGCCAACTCTTCTGGCAATGAAGGATGCTGCTGTGAGCCATGCCACCCCATCAGCAAGCGTTGAAGTGGATGCTCCCGAGACCAACCTAAGCAAGGAAGATTCCCGCTCATCTGACACTGATTCCAAGCGCATGCGTGGTGGCACTCCTGTGTCCACGACAGAAGTGGCTGAGGCGGCAGTTCACAATGATATGCCATCTACAGGTGAGAGTCTTGGCACAACAGCTCCAGCTCCTGTCGGTGCAGATACTGCTAAGGCAACTGTTTCGCGTGCTGGTCTTCCACCTAGGCGTCGTAGCCCCCGCAAGCAATCAACAGACATACCCAACGCACCGGCTGTAGCTAGGAGCAGTAGAGACGAGTCTGGTTATGTTCCTGCGTCCACACTGTTCCCGCCACCTGCCAAAAGCAATGTGATGGAGAAACCGGAAGACCAGAGCACAACTGATGCAGGTGTCAAGCCGGGCACGAGTGACGCAGGTGAACATCCGGAGAAGACTGCGCCTTTACCCGCAGTCCCCAGCTTAAATCTGCGCACTTCCAGGCTCCCAGTCAATGTGGGTGTCCCTTACAACCCAAACAAGAAGATTGTCAAGAAAGCTGTGGCTGATACCGCTGACAACACGCCCCCCCTACAAATAAGCCCGATCATTCTGTAGCAGCCGATTCAGATATGTTTGTTGATCTTTCACCCTTGGATTCTGCCCCGCAAGTTGTTCATGGTCCGGCCAGTAGGCATGAGAGGCACCCAATGGCCTTCACCTAGGGCTGGGCGTTCGGTTGCCCCGAAACGATCGGCTCAGTGCTTCGGTCTATTTGAAATTTCGGTTTTGTAGAAATGCTGACCGATCGGTCAATAGAAAATTAGCTAACCGAAGACTGTCAGCACCGAAATTTCGGTTCGGTCGTCGGCTCTACCGAACAGCACCGAGATATACTACTATTTAACAACAGTCTGAATCATTGCATTTATTCTGACTGTACAGTACTTGTACTAGTAGCAGCACTTTATTCTGATGTACAGTGGTTGTAGCTCTTCGTACTAGCTAAAGGCTAGCCTCCGTGGTAAAATGAGCGGTGGTGGGCTGGTAGCTGACACAAGTGGGGAAAGTACTTCTCTATTACCCAAACTTTTACTCTGTAAAATTATCAATGGCGGCTCGTTGGGTCAGCCACTCCACTTCCCAATGCCGATGTGGGACTCGAGCACTGATAGAAAATAGACAAGTCCATGTTCACATGAAAAAGTAGCAACGATTCTTAAAAAAGAAAGAGTAGCAATGGGCATGCAGATCGGACCTACGTGGTTACTCGGTTTTCGGTCTGTTCGGGTAGCGGAGGGACACACCCGAATTCACCGAACTAGGTTTGGTTTTCAACGAATGCAAACCGAATGTGCTACCAAAGTTTCCGGTTTCGGTGAATTTGGCTTCGGTGCCGGTTAGTTCGGTTCGGTACATCGGTTTTCGGGTTATATGCCCAGCCCTACCTTCACCCCACCGAGCTTTAGTCTTGGCATTAGTCAAGATCAACCAGTGGTGCCAGATCCTATGCCAGTTGCCTTTGCTTTCCCGGGAGGCATGCCCGCAATGATGGCGCAGCCAATGGTCGAGGGCAGGAAGGCTATCAAGTTCGCAGAGCTGATAGTCCAAGGTACATTTATCATGTGCTTATCATTTTCTTGTATACATCTTTGTAGTTTGACTTTTGTCCCAATCATATTTTTTGGGGGTCCTCACTTATGATGGAAACTGATATGTGATGACATGGCAACTGGATTTGATGCACCATGTCACCTACATTTTTTTTGCTGCCATGCTGCATTTCACATTGGGCAACCACATGGCAACTGAAGTTGATTCAACATGGCAACTGTAGTTGCTGTCACATGGCAAATACAGTGCAATACACATGGCAACTGGATTTGCTGCACCATGTCACCTGCATTTTTTGTTTCCATGCTGCATTTTTTCCATTCGGCAAGCACGTGGCAAGTGGAGTTAGTACAACATGGCAACTGTAGTTGCTGTGACATGGCAACTACAGTGCAACCAGATGGCAACTATAGTGCAACTACATGGCAACTGTAGTTGCTATGACATGGCCACTGTAGTTGCAGCACACATGGCAACTCCCCACTTTTTGTACCTACATCTCACATCATGCACCCTATCTTCTCACAATCCATCTATTTTTGATTTCTAGGTATCCTAATCCACTTTTTTGATCCTTGCAGCCACCCCTGAGGAGATTTCACCGTCACTTGATGAAGCTTACCACAGGATCGAGGAGGCAGCATTGCAGAGGAGGGCTTACCGCAGGATCGAGGAGGCAACATTGAGAGGAGGTCCTTACGAGGGCAAGGCAATCAAGTTCCAACGTGCCTGCAAATATGGTATCTGAGGATACTAGGAGTGCCACCCCTGGTTCTGTGAGGCAGCAGAGGGTAGTTCACCCACCTCTCGCGGAAGACTACAAGCTCGAATTTAGGGCCACTAAGGAATAGACCCAGCTGTACAATATTGTCAAGCGGTTTGAAAATGCGAGGGCCAGCAGCAAGCACATGAAGGAGCTGAAAGCGTAAATGACCACACCCCATAATCTCTCATTTTGCTTTGCTCCTTTTTTACCATTCATCTTCTTCGTACTTTCTATACATGATCCGCTTACGTTTTAGTTCTTTCATTTTTTACTTAGTAGGCATGATTCTTTCATGTTATATCGTTTTCATACAGCTCATGTTTGGACAGAACCAAGGTCATTCAATGCGAAGCGACGTACGTCGACCTAGGTGATCTTGCCGAGTCTGTGTGGCCAAACGGTAGAATGTCGACGAATGTAGTTGCATGCGGGATTGACTACATCAACAATCATACGGATGTGTGTGCTGACAAAATAATCATGCATTACAGTGTGACCTGCAAAATATGGGATGGTGACTTCCACCACAAAATCCTGAAGAAGAATTTTGCTCAACACGGTGAATTCAAGCTCACACTAAAGAAATATGTGAGTACTCCTTCCCTGTTTGCACTTTTTTTTCCACATGGTATGGTTTTTTGCCATCATCTGCACTCTGTTTATGTGGCAATAGCTGCCGTGCAAACTGACTTTTTGATTTTTGCATCCCGTGCAAACTATGTGGCAACTTCATAGAAAAATACACGACAAATTTTGTTCATACGTGGACGACAACTTTCTTTCAACTACCACCACCATAACTAAACATTCTACGTGATTCTACTTTTTTTGTCCCTCTGCTGTTCTTCATGTGAACTTTGCTTCTCATTTCCTTCACTTTTACATGCAGGTCATGTTCCCCATGTTCCAGGAGCTTGCACCACATGATCAACATGACAAGTGTGGTCACCACTATGCGATCTGTCTTGACCTGAAGAACCAACGCTTTGAGGTGCTTGATTCAATGCGTTCGGCAGCTGATGCAGACCTTACTTCGCATGCTGAATTCTTCATCAACAACGTGAAAGAGACATGGAACCGTCACTACGAAAACTCAAAGGTCCAGATCAGACATTTCCCGGTTGAGTACGTGGTGACTATGAATCAAGGGAACACGTAATTTCCTACCCCCCTCCTTCATGTGCCATTTACATCAATCCCACCCCTCTTTTGTTGTTACATCTGAATTGAAGTTTAGCACTGCTCTGTCTGTCCTTTTTTGCGAGTTCCCCTGACTCTTTTTCTTGTGCAGGACAGACTGGGGCTTTCACACGTTGGAATACTTTGCAAAGTGGGAATGTAGACTTGTCCCCGCTGTCACAGCTGCAATGGTCGTTGAGCTCCGGAAAATCTACACATGGAACTGGTTGACGAATGAAGATTTCAACAAGTGGTCCGGAGCACGCGAGTTCATGGAGGAAGCTGTCAAGAAAGTCATCAAGAAGTACAAGTGATCACGTGGCGTTACACACCGGACGCATACCTTACATTCTGTTACCGAGGAATGTAAGGTACTATCTCTTTGTTCTCGTGAAAAACTATGTTCGTGTGCTATGTTATGACTGCAACCCTGCGTAGCCTACTATGTAGTGGTGGTGTGTGAGCGACATTTGAA